AAAATCTTGCTATATGGGACGTCGGAGCCATCTCTGATCAGCTTATTGTAAGTCAAGGGACTCAAGAAAGCTCTGAGTTCTGGTTAAGAGAAGAGTCTTTTGGGTCACAGGGGCTTGGATTCAAATCACTGCCCTCCAGTCAGTAAATGAACTGATCTCTCAGTACCATTTCTGTGCATGCCCTTTTCTCACCTGTGACGTGGAGAGGCTAATAGGACCCACCTCCTGGGGATACTGAAAGGATTGAAGTGGAAAGTACCAGAGGGCAATGTATGATCTCCTCTCCACTGTCCCACAACTTTTTTTTGAAGCTCCCTGGTACTTATTAGGCTTTTGGGCACACAGAGCTCCCGTCTGAAAAATTAGACACTGTCATGTTGACTCTAATGTTCTGATACAATGAGATGACCGTGAATTGAAGGCAATTCAACAGCAAGCCAACAACAACAACTTAAAACAAAAACAAAGCCCCGTGATCATTGAGTCCATGCTGACTCGGTGGTGCCCACGTGTACAGACGTAGAGCACTAGGCCTTCCTTCCCTGGTGTTACTGGGTGGGTTCCAGCCACCAAACTTTAGGCTAACAGTTGAGTGAAGAAACCTTCCTATGGATTTGGGCAGAGAGAAGGAGTGTCATTTTAACACATTGATTTTCAGGGGTGGGGGATGAGGGGAATAGCTTTTGGCTCATTGATGTTCCACAAATTGGCCTGCTCCCAATCTCAGAACTAGGCATTGGTAGGCCATGCCAGGAAGACAAAGGGGTGGATTATAAAGTGTCATCCTTATATCTGCGATCATACTGTAAATGTTTCCATTTAACCTAACACAAAGAAATACCGCCCTTCTGATGTTGGGCAAAGGTCTTGAGTGGAATTCAAGTTCCTGAGCGGAATTTCATTTTCCTCTTCTTTGCCCAAGTCATAGCCATAATCTGTTATCTCTGATATCCAATTCCATTTTCTTCGAACGAGCACTTTGAAGGCTCATGCAAAGTCCTCCGGGGGAGCCACGCGGCAAGACTTTTGAGACGGTTTTATTCCTGACCAATCTCTTATAGTTTTGACTTGACAGCATTTCTTCGCAACTCACACCTTAAGTCTTTTCAAAGCCTTCAACGGGATGTTCATAGAAATAGCTCTTCTCTTTTAAATCTTACAGCTCACCTGTGATGTGTAATATTTCATTAAACTAGACAATTACAGCAGGGCAGCATGTAAAAGCCAGGCTCTTCCCTCTGGCTGCCTGGCTCACTCCCTCGCCTCCTCCAGATCTGTGCTCAGAGATGACGTTCTCAGCACGGCCATCTCTGGTCGCTCTATTTAAAATCGCCACTTGGCACTCCCGATCCCAGGTGCCCTAGGCCTTCCCCCTGCTTCCTTTCTCTTCCCGCATGACACCCAACCACCTGCCAGGGCAAACATTATCTGGCTGTTCTATCCTGCTTAAAACTGTCGTTTGTTTGGGCTATCAGTGCCGTGATGGCGAAGATTCACGGTGGTTTTGTGAGTAGTATCCTGGGGGTAGGGGGTAGGGGGTGGTGTTCAACAGGGGTGTGGACAAGGGAGTCTAATCTGAATGCCTAAACCAATGCTCAGCATGTAGTAGGTGCTCAATAAATATATGTTGAATTAATGGGGGGGGGGTCCCGCAAATTGCGACGAGGACACAAAGCTTATGGCCACAGGCTGATGAGTATGGTATTGTGGTGACAACTGATTCACAGTCTCCTCTAAGGTGGGTGGCTAGGAGGCTATGTCATCCACTCTGAGTAACACGAGGGGTGGATTTCTTTATACTTCTCCTGCTTTGCATGCTAGGGCATCTCAGGCTGGGTTCCCTAGAAAGGCAACACCAGTGAAGTGTATGAGTGTGAGAGTGTGTGTGTGTGTATGTGGTGGGGGGTGTTCCTAGGGGAGATCAGACCCGGGGAAAGGACACCGTGCGGGGAAAGAAGAAGTTCGGTGAACCAAAGAGGGAGGGTCTCTTTTCCTTTAGGCATGCCACCTTGATCCTGGGGTGGTCACGGGCCGCCGCCCTGCCCGATGTTGCCGGTATGGTAAGAGCAAGCCCTACCCAAAGTCCCGCTTCTGTCCAGGTGTCCCTGATGCCAAGGTTCGCATCTTTGACCCGGGCTGGAAGAAGGCAAAGGTGGATGGATTCCCACTGTGCGGCCACATGGTGTCAGATGAGGACAAGGGGCTATCCTCTGGAGCCCTGGAGGCTGCCCGCATCTGTGTTAACAAGTGCGTGGTGAAAAGCTGTGGCAAAGGTGGCTTCCACATCCGAGTGCGGCTCCACCCCTTCCACGTCGTCCACATCCACAAGATGTGGTCATGTGCTGGGACTGACAGGCTCCAAACTGGGATGCGAGGTGCTTTGGGGAAACCTCAAGGCACGGTGGCAAGAGTCCACATTGGCCAGGTCTTCATGTCCATCTGCACCAAACTTCAAAACAAGGAGCATGTGATGGAGGGCTTACGTAGGGCCAAGTTCAAGTTCCTTGGGCGGCAGAAGATCCAGGTCTCCAAGAAGTGGGGCTGAGAAGTGCAGCGTCCGGATGGCTGTAAAAGTCAAGTACACCTCTCACCGTGGCCCCTTGGATAAGGGGTGGGCCCTGCATTCATGAAGGCCTTGGTAGCCCTGAGCTGTCTCACTTGTACCCACCAAATAAAAATTGAACTTCCTGATTAAAAAACAGCAAAAGAAGAAGAAGCCTGTCAAGGAGATGGATCAGTACATCAACTACAATGGACTCAAAACATAAGAGCAATTGGGAGGATGGCCCGGACACTGTTTAGTTCTATTGTGAATGGGGTCACCATGGGTTGGGCCAACTCAACCTCACCTAACAGCAACAGCAACTGTAAACAAACTTTATTTTTGTCCCGTAGGAACGATGTTAAGAGTGCTGCAGGGTCAGGCAGTGTTTGGCTCTGTTGTGCATAGGGTCAGGGACTGAGATAAACCAGTACTGACCAGCAAGCCCTGTACATACCCGTCTACCTCCACGCCCCCCACCCACCTAGGGTGCAGCCCTCCAGGGACCCAACCAAAAATAAAGAGGATTCTCCCAGGCCTCCTCCCCTTGGCACGGTCTGAGTTCACTCCCCATTCTGAGCGTCCCTTTTGCTATGAGAGTGTCACCACTGTCCCCCAGGTTCTCAGCCCCACACTACACCTGCATTGCCAAATATTTGCCTCAAATACTTGGCACCCATCCTCCTGGAATCATTCACTCTGTGTTGGCTCGTGGAAGCCACGCAGGACAGAGAGAGAGACAGAGAGAGAGAGAGAGAGAGAGAGAATACAAAGGATCTCGTTTACTATCACCAAAAGCAGAAGCCTCCTTCTTACCGGTGCCAGGACCTGGACCAGGAAAAGGCAGATGAGGAGCATTCTAAGGTGCAAAGTTAAAGGAGGTGCTCACTCTGGGGTTTGTGCAAAGGCAGGGTTAGCACGTCCAAGTAAATGCATCCTTAGCGTTTGCACTGAGACACTTCCCTTGCCTCATCCTAGCCTCGGGCCAGCCTGTGTCTGTTTGTAGAGGTTTAAATATCTGGAAGGACACAGTCCAGAAAATGGGATAGAGACCTTTCATTTTCTTCATTCGCTTCTGAATTGTTTGACTGTCAGACAAAACTAACTCTTACTAAGGATGCGCTCGCGGTCTGCTCTGCGTGGGGATCGACAGGACGGCGATGGGCCGGGAGAACAGTGGAAGAGCACCCTCTCATGTCATCCCCGTTCCAACCCGACGAAGTAGCTGCCACTTTGATCTCCAGCTTGCATGCAAGGAGACAGCGCACACAGAGAGTCAGTGACTTCCCATGTCCACAAGAGGAGGAAGAGGTGGCCATCTGGTTTTGAACCCTGGCTGCCAGCTCCTTTAAGCCGTCACGTCCAACCATTAGACACGCAAGTTGGCATACAAATGAAAAGGGCTGCCTTGCTTCTGCAATTTAAAAATAGGATGCCATACAATATTTAATTAATAGTATACATGTGTATTATACAGCCCTCTTCATTAACAACAGACATACATAGGCGAGTATGTCTTATACAGTGGGTTATGCCTTGGGCTGCTAATCACAGGGTCAGCAGTTCAGAACCACTAGCCGCTCTGAAGGAGAGAGAGAAGAGTCTCCGTTCCCGGAAAGCGTTCCAGTCTTGGAAGCCCACCCGAGCAGTTCTACCCTGTCCTCTGGGGTTCTATGAGTCAGAGTGGACTCGATGCAGGGCGTTTAGATTCTATATGAAAGGGCCCTCACACCCCCCAAAATGCAGGGTGCCAAGACAACCAGGGAAGGCCCCAAAGCTAAGTCAATTCCGACTCAAGGCAACCCCAGGCGTCCCAGCAGAGCTGTGCTCCATCGTGCTCCCAGGGGCTGACGTCCAGAAGAAGACCCCCCAGGCTGTTCTTCCGAGGCACCTCTGAGTGTGCTAACCGTTTGCACCACCTCTGGCCTGGGGCTCAGGTAAAGCCAGGAGTGTGTTTAGGTCACTGCTCTGCCCCATCCTGTGGTGGGCAGAAGCAAGACTCCCCTGTTCCCATCCCTCGTTTCCTCCCACAGCACCCCCCCTCCCCATATTTTCACACTGCCGGATCCAGAAGAAACAAATGACCTAGGGCCTGCTCTCAGATACGTCAATGGGCTAGATCAGCGGTTCTCAACACAGATGTCCAATGGTCTTAGGAACCGAGACACCACTCCTCTATAAGACTCCAGGTGGGTCCGCCCACATGCAGATACATACACCCACCTACCCGGCGGCGTGAAGACTGTTGCCCATGCTACACCATGCTTCAAGACAAAGTTTCATTGATTTGTCATTAGAAATCAACAGTTCCCAATACAGAATTATCTATTGTTTTGTGATGAATCACTATGCTTTCATGATGTTCCATTTGTAACCATGAAAATACATCCTGCCTATCAGGTATTGATATGATGATTCATCACAGTAGCCAAAGGATAGTGACAAAGTAGCAATGAAAATAATGGTATGGTTGGGGGTCCCCACCACATGAGGCACTGTATGAAAGGGTCGTGGCATGAGGAAGGTTGAGAACCACTGGGCTAGACGCTCGCAGGACCCCATCGGTCTGCCTGTTGTTACCGTGTCAGCTGAGGCCTTAGGCCGAGACATGGTGCCTGACTCCCATTACTCACTCTGTCCTTTCCTGTCTGGCTGTGCCAATAAGATGATTTATCAGCAGGAGAGCCAGACAGGCTGCCAAGTCTGAGCAGAGAATGGAGGCTTGGGAACTATTTCATCCATGCAAGGCCCCTCTCCCCCACGGTCTCTTCACAGAGCCATACACCTATCCCAGGAGGTCTGGATGCAGCCTGCATTCATTCATTCACCCAACACACATTTACTAAGGAGCCAGAGCTGGACCAGAGCTATAGCATATACTAGTAAACAAAAAAGGTCGGCCTTTGCTCCCTTCAAAGTGACAGGTCTATAGAAAAGACAGACCTGGAAGTACGGTGTACGATCAGGTACACTGAACTTATAGGTATGTGCAGGTAAATGCAGAGAGTGATCAAGGCAAGAAGCAGGGGCAGGCAGAGAAGCTCTCCAAGGGAATACCATATGTACTCGTGACTAAGCCAAGTTTTTCAGCACATTTTTAATGCAGTTTTTGTGGTCATATTAGGTGCCTCAACTGATATTCGGGTTGGCTTATACTCGAGTATATATGGTAATCCCTGAGCTGTGGTCTGAAAACTGACTGGGAGTGCACACAATGACGGAGGGAAAGCATCCAAGCAGGGGCAAGTGGAAAAAAGCAGAGAGGGGTGGTGGGGTGAGCAGCAGGGCAGAGATTGGGGAGGTGGGCAAGGACCAGATGAGACAGAGTTTCCCATGCCATTGATATTGACCCAAAAGAGCTCAGCGGGCACATCACATCCCCTCCACCACACATCTGTCAGCTTGTTGGATGGTGGTTGGAAGGCATGTCGCCCGAGGCTGGCATCTATGCCCCTGGCATTTCAAATGCCAGCTGGATCACCCAACGAGGACAGGTTTCAGCAGATCTTCTAGAGCAGCAGTTCTCAACCTGTGGGTCGCAACCCCTTTGGGGGTCAAATGACCCTTTCACAGGGGTTGCCTAAGACCATCAGAAAACACATATTAACACATGGTCTTAGGAACCGAGACACCGCTCCTCTATCTGTCTCCAGGTGGGTCTGCCCACATGCAGATATGCTGATCTGGTGAGAAAGAAACTATCTCAACCTTCACACTGATGTTGGCTTTTTACGCATAGTGTTGCAAAATGTAGTAATGTCGTTTACTGTTGTTATATTAAGACTGTTACCCATGCTACATCAGGCTTCAAGACAAAAGTTCTTTTTTCATTAGAAATAATGATTTTTTCATTAGAAATAAATATTTTACAATAGATAATTACGTTTTTGTGTGATTCGTCACAATGCTTTCATGATGTTCAATTTGTAACAATGAAAATACATCCCGTCGATCAGCTATTTACATTACGATTCCTGACAGTAGCAGAATGAAGTAGCCACGAAAATAATGTTATGATTGGGGGTCACCACAGCATGAGGACCTATATTAAAGGGTCGCAACATTAGAAAGGTTGAGAACCACTATTCTAGACTAAGACGGATTAAGCAAAAGACTTGGCAATCTCCTTCTAAAACCTTGGCCAATGAGAACTGGATGGATCCCAGTGGTCGGAGCCAGACCCAACATGAGGATGGGGAGGCTTTCGTTCCGTTGTGCACAGGGGCCGCGGAGTCTCTGGCCACCTCCAGGGCTAACAGCTACAGGACAATGGTGCTCTCATGCCACCCACGCGCTGGACACGGGTGGGTTCAGACATCCGTGACGCGCCAGCACTTCTAATCCTCCTGCTCACAAGGCCTTCTCTGCTCTTTGCAATGTCACATGGGCATACCACAGCAGTCCTGGGGCCAATCAAGTGGTAGCAGAAGTGGCTCGTGTCACTTTGGGGTTGAAGCATTTAACAACTCTTAGGCAATTTCCTCTCTCTGGCTCTCACTTTCTCGCCCTCTGACCCTCCCGGCCCCTTCCTCTCCCTGCCCATTGCTCTCTCCACGCCCCCCCCCCTTCCTGCAGTAATTTCAAACACGTGTATCAATACGGAGGAGCCATAGTCAAAGCAGCCTGCACGGTTGAGCTCATCACGCCGGCATTCTGCCCGCAGAGAACTGCCAAGGCTTTGCATACGTGGGCTGTAAACCGTGGTTTCTTAAGTGCTGTGGTTGTCTGTTACAGCAGCATAGCACGGCCTCTCCTAACTAATCTACCACGTGGCCATTCCACACAGGGGTTGGTGACCCACAGAAGGCAAAGAACATACCCGCTGATATCTGATCATATTATCCCTGGAGAAGAGGTTAAGACCATTCTCCTGGCTCCAAGGAGAATGGCCTGTGGAACGGGTGGCCACACAGATGGCCGAGGGAACAGATTAGGCACGTAG